CACGGCTGCCACTGCCGCCTCGCCGCCTGGCCCGCCGCCTGGCACAGCCGACTCGGTCTGGAGACCCTGGTGAGGGTGGCAGGCACCGGACCGGACTGGACTGAGCACCGCACCCCGTGCTGCTGGCACGGCTGTACATAGGTTATATGTTCATATTGGATTGTGCCTTTGTACCATAGCACTCCCTCGACAGTGTTTCGTGTTTTACACGAGATCTTTTTTTTTTTCCTCCTTTCCCTCCCCTTCCTTATGTGACACCAAAGATCGGGATTTTTTTGATTTTTTTTTTTTTTTTTTTTTGAATGCTCTTAAAATAAAAGTGTCCCTTCCATTTTGGAAGGCCTTTGGAGAGAAGTTGGAGTGCTGGCATGTGTGCATAGGAGGGTGAGCCCGGCTCCTGGCGGGCTGCTGGCTGCCTGTGGATCGTGCTGCTCCAGGGCTGCCTTGTCCTGCTCTCCAGGCTGGAGCTGTCACTCAGACCCCTCTGTCCCCTCTGTTTTGGGAAATCACCTGGCCCCCTCTCCCTGCCCCGGGGCAGATGTAATTACTGCTTCCTTGAGAGCAGATTGATCAGACTTGTTAAAAAGAGCTTATGTTTGCAGAGCTGGTGAATGTGCGGAGGGAGGCACCTCTGCTCTCCTCCTGGGGCTGATGGAGCCGAGTACCCCAGGTAACGCGAGACAGATTTCGGCACAGAGCCTGACAGCCCAGCTCCCGGTCTAGGCTGCCCCGGGTGAGCCTCCTGCCCTGGACCCGGGGAGAGTCCGCTCCCAGCTGCGGTGTAAATCCTGGGTGACTTCAGCCAGTTGATTTAGAGAGCCGTGCCTGCCAGCTTCTCCTGTTACAAAAACACCGTCTCTCGGCAGGACAAGCCTGACACGAGCGCTCCTGTCTCCTGGCTGACAGGCTGCAGCAGGCGCTGGGCACCACCTCCACCTGGACTTAAAAGCACAGAGCTGTTCCCAGCCCTGAGCACCAGCCAGGCTCTGCTTGATGATTAATGCTCTGCATGTGTTTTTGATAGAGTTGGGCATTTCCTCTGCTGTTATATGGAAAACATGTGTCTGGGGGAGTGATGTGGGGCTGTGCGGACTATCTCTGTAACAGTGAGTGGCAACTGACCCCTTTGACTTGGTCATGCCCCATTTCCAGGCAAGATGCAAGCCCTAGATAGAGGTGAGCGGCGGTCTCTGGTTACAGCTTGCATTGCCCTTCTTAACAAGTCCTAACTCAGAGCGGACAGCTTTAAATCGTGTGAGGATCCGCTGGGGATTCCTTCCAAATCCTGCCGCAAAAGCTTGTTGGATTTTGTCTGGATCAGCCGGGTGCTTGACTGTATCCAGGTGCTGGGGAAATGAAAGCTGGGGAGAGTGCGAAACCAGACAGATAAAACCTGCTGGGGTTTGAATCCCTCCCCAGCTTCCCCTGCTTCTTTTTCCCTGTATTCAGACAGAGCCTCCTGATCTGAAAATATTTGGGATGGATTTGGGGGAGGGAGGGAAGGTGTCTGGGATATCTCTCTGCAGGGTGTACTGGTGAGGATGGGGCCAGTGGCAGCTCTCTTTTCAAAGGGGCTGCAGGTGATGATATCCCTCGGTGATGCAGCTGAGCTTTCCCTCCTCAGTCTCCCAGTGCTTTGCTGGCCTGTCTGTTGCCACCCTCACAGTGGCATCCCGCAGCCAGATTTTGTGTGCCAGGCTTGGGAACGTCAGATTTGCTGTTCCTAGGCAGGTGTGTAGCTGTATGGGCTGAGCCTGCCTTCCCTTCCACAAGCCATAGCGTCACCTTTCTGCTCTGGAGGTACCGAGGGCAGGACTGAGCCCACCTTGTGTCCAGAGAAGCACTCGCAGGACCTGTCTGGGAATCGCATCAGACCAGCTCCTGCTGCTGGACAACCTGCCTGGAGCTGATGCAGACCAGTAACGCATCACCTGTAAGAGCTGAGGCTGCTCCAGTTTAGTAGAGTCTTCCTTTTCTGCTGAAGCAGTTGGTTTGGAAAGTGCGTTAGGAAAGAGATGACTGCTGTAGGCTAATGGAGAACATAGAGCAGATCCAGGAGTGAAAGACAAGATGAACCTATTTGCTAATGGAGTTTAAATAGCCTAGTATAAAGCAGATACGCTGTGCTTGGACCAGTTTCTCCAAAGCTTTCTGTGTTTACTCTATCCCACAGCCTGTTGACATGAGAGATCTGCTTGAGTTTGTGAGCTTTGAGGGGATCAGAGCAATTCCCAGGAGCCGCGCTCTTGATGCCAATTCACTGAGCCCGTGACAAATTGGGATGAAAAATGCAGGCTGTGGGTCCGCGGATCATTATGTGCAGGAGTTGCCCTTCAGGTGCAGCAAGTGCCTTCAAACTGGTGCTGTGGGACGAGCAGGCAACAGTATAAAGGAGGGCTGGGGGTGCCGAGGAAGGGACAGGGCTGAGCTGCTGGATGGTGCCCTCTCGTTTGCCTGTGACCCTGCACGGGGCTGTGGAGGACAAATAGGAAAGCTGGACTCAGTGGTGGCCAGATGGGATGCAGCTCCTGTCAGCTTCCCTGGGGAGCCTGGCGAGCCCTGCCTGCCGGCAGAGAGGACCCCCGGGGATGGCTGGAGCCGGGTCTGTCCCTCTCAGATTATGGCTCTTGGGCTCGTGAGCAGTTTGCCACAATGCGGCGTGTGCATTTGCAGCCCGGAGATGAGATGTGCTCCATCCCTGCCTGCAGGGGAACCTGCAGGGGGGTCCACGGGTGGTGGACCCTGACTCCGCCAC